ACTATATTTTTTTTATTTAAAAATAATTTGGTCTCATAACACATTTTTTTTTTTAAAACACCGGGGGGGGGGCCCCCCCCCCCCCCCCCCCCCCCATCCCATTTGATGTATACAAATTTAATGTAAAAGGAATGCATCAGCTTTATATCAAAGTAATCACACATTCAGTCAGCTAAAAACGTTTAGTATCCGAAATGAAGACACATACATAGTCATCAACAAAAATTTGAATGTTCTTGCAATTCTTTTGTTATGAATTATGCTATAACATCATGCCAGCAACTACGTATTTGAAGAAACACAAATAGTCTTACACAAGCTCTAGGGAGCATATAGAAGCTTATCTTGATTTTAAAAGCTGACATTAATCGGTCAAAACGTATAGAAACCACCACTAAAAAAAATAAGAATGCTGAGTAACTATTCTATTGTTAGGGAATAGTCCAATCCGCGTCTGCGTCGACTATTGGTGCAATTCCAGCAAATAGACCACCTTTATGAGATATCACTTCTTTTTTTATTATATTACCCACCCTAGTGAAAGTACCCATGCTATGAGTACGACTTTACTCATAATTCTTCCATGGGTACTAATACGAGTTCTACTAACAACTTTTGAGTATTTTTACTCACTGAGTACTCAGAAAATATTCATTCACCATTTTGCCGCAAAAATGAAACTGTATAAAGAACGCAGAATTTAGTAAAGAACCATAGAATATTTATATGATATTTTTCTCGTTGGTCTCTCTGTATATAGTCAGAGATGGACTCGTCTGTGAATAGACTTGTAGTCCAACTCTAGCTGCCTGGAATCACTCCTCTATATGAAAATATCAGATGGACAACACTCATGAGTATTTTGCCAAAACTTATATGCGTACTCAACAATACTCAAGCATAAGTACTTAAAGTCGTCCCCACAGTACTCATTACTCACTGTTGAGTACTCATGTGAGTACTCAATGATTACTCAAAATGTATGAGTACTCGTCCGGTTTTTCTAGCAGAGTACTTTTTTGAGTACTCACGCATGAGTACATTCACTAGGGCAACCGCTGCTTTCTAGCTCCAAGGAGTCAGGATCAACGCGAATTGACGTAGACAGTCTCCCGTTGGAGGTTCTTCTACAGATCGATCACCCCCCTACTGTGGTGTGTGTGAAGTGTGAGTGTATGATCGATCTGTACAAGTACCCAGTGTCATGCTAAAAGTGTGACAATGTTACGTTTTACGGTAACACTTAGCATGACATTGTTAACGTTCTTCTAGCTATTTCGAATAGGATGGATATAGATGTGTCATCTCACTCTTACAAAAAACTTCATAAGAGACAAAATGTATGACTATGTGTTTATCTTAGTTAAATCAGAAAAATTGAGCAGAAGTTCTTAATTAAGCAAATCTGAAATGGTTCGTCTATGATAGTTAAATAAATAAAATTCACTGTCACCCAGTGAAGCTCCTCAAAAAAACTAGGTTTATAAAGTATTCCTTCATGATTATTATTAGCAGAACTTTCGATTTTTATACATTATTTTTATCCTTGTCAATGTACTAGAACGTCTCACGAGATTGCAGAAAAACTAATAATCGATACAAAAATATTTCTACAAATAAAACAAGTTTTATGGAAACAAATGATAACTGATTGCCGCCGACAGGGCAAAAAATTTCTTTTATACATTGAACTTTTATCTGTTCTGTCATCAGTGGGAAAATTTTGGCGCGAACGGCGTTTCATATATATATCTATATATTGGTAGAAAGGGATAAAATAATAAATGAGCTCGGAAAAAAGAGATATTTGAGCTCGGTGTGTTTAATTAGCTTTAAAATGAGAGAAATGAGCTCGGTTGTAATAAAATTATATTTTTTCAGATAAATGAAAAGTTTTGAGCTGAGAAATTTTTTAATCTAATGAAAAAGATTGAGCTCAGAAATTAATTTATCCTCTGAAAAGATACAAATAAGCTCAGTATATTTTATTTTCATCGGTAAAAAGAGAGAAACGAGCTCGGTAATTAATTTGTGAAAATTAATTAATGATTTTGTCAGTAGTAAAGTATATTTAATAAGAGAAAAATAGTTCAAGAACAAAAAAAGTGCTAGATTACAGTAGGTTTTCACTAATATTCAGTCTTTTGTTAAAGCTAATTTAACTT